GTGCCAGAGGCAGGCTCTGGCCAGGAGACTTACCAGCCAGCAGCCCAACCAGCCTACTTGCCTGCCTGCAGAGCTAAATGCTTGAAGTTTCTCAGTCACCCTGCCTGCCCCATACCTGCACAGGCTGCCTGGCCCAGAAGGGAGGGAGCTAGTGCTTCGTGGCTGCCTGTTATTCAAACAAGCAGCTCCCATTGGCCAGTTTCTGGCCAGAAGCTGGCCAATGGGATTGGGCTGGGGGAGGGAGTTAACGCCTGAAGCCTTCCTCCCCCAGTTATTAAAGAGAAACAGCCACACAGGCACTTTTCTGAGCAGTGTGCAGGGCTGCAGGACAAGCAGGGGAGCCTGCCTGGGGCTCCCCATAGCATCCACGGGCCGGATCTGGTGGTTTGGTGAGCAGGCCATATTTTGCCCAGGCCTGGTCTAGCAGCTTTACAGCAGGTACCTTTTTTTTTAAATTTCATTCTCATTTATATAGGAAAGCACAGTAAACTAATCATTAATCTAAGTTTATTTGGCCTTTTGTACAACCTTCAATACCATAATATTATTGTGGTAACAAGAGTGTCTGAATGCTCATTAAATACATCCAATGCCTTAAACACAAAAGCCATGTCCAAACAAGGAAAATGGAGTCTGTGGCGGACAATGAGGATCTGCAATGGAGGGAGTTTAATTACTGAGTACAGACAAAGTAAATTCCACATCTGTGCCCACTGCTGAGCACTTCAAGCTGAGCTGCACCAGATACTCATCCCAGTGTAGAAAAGACCCAATAGAGAGAAAAAGTTAATTAATGAAGTTCTCTTAGTCAACAGGCCACAGTCACTTATGATTTAATGGAGTTAATACAACAAGGATGGATGCGTTTGACTCTATTCATCTTAGTGTTGAACTTTAAGCTCTATAACTTTGCTCCTCATATCTTCCACACGCCTAGGTTCATCTAGAGTGACAACATGGAATAAGATTAGACAGACAAGACACAGATGTGGCACGAGCATGCCTGAAAGGCAGTGTGTGGTATGTACTGTGCAGTTAAAAAACACATCTATAAACATAAAACAAAGATAGATGAAGAGCAGAAAGACTAAGGAAGCCAGAGTTTTGCAACATTGTTACATTCCACATTACTTCAGTTCCCTTTACTCTGGGTGTTGCTCTGTGAATTAGCTGTGGTTTCAGACTGATAATTCCACACCTAAACACCAACACAAGACCCTAATATTAGGCTGATAGAACAGCCACCATTGTCAAGACAATGCTAAATTCCTAATGCACTGGGGAGACAATACAGGGATCGGAGGCAGATATTCAAGGCATGACAATGTTATCTGAGCTACAGGGTCACTGTTCTGTGACGTAGGCTCTTTCCTATAGGCACACAGGCATCCAGTGCATCTGGACACTAGTCAGAAAAAACAACAACAGGGGCTCACCCCTGCAAACCCAACGGCCCAGGACACCCTCCCACCCACACCACCTAACGGCCCAGGACACCCTCCCACACACGCACACAAACATGCACCCAACGGCCTGAGACACCCTCCCGTCCCCCAAACACGCACACAGACATACCCCACAGCCCAGGACACCCTCCAACACACACAAATGCACACACACATATACCCCCCCCCAGCCTGGGACACCCCCCCACATACCCTCCATGGCCTAAAACACCCCCTCCCGCCCACAGCTCGGGACAACCCCCACCCACCCATATACCCCC